AATCTTTTAACGATACAATAAGTTACACGACGGGTGCCACATGTGGAGCAGGATCTGCTTACCCTTCCGGAGCACCTGAGATCACCCCCAGTTTTTGGTGGGGTTCGTGTTGCTTAGTCTTTAGTTTTCTATGTTGTGTCATCTGTACTATTATTTGTCTGTTTGTCTTTTTATTTTTGGCCATGGCGTTGTCAGTTTGTTTTCGATCTATGAGTTTGACTGTCCCTCTGGTATCTTTCGTCCCTCTTTTACAATTGTTTTTACTGTAACCAAACGTTAAGAACAATGTTAAACCCGGGAGGGGAAAGATACAAAAGGGACATTCAAGTTAATTATTCGAACACAAACTGACTACGCCATAGCAAAACCCTAAGGAAAAACAACAGTATACGAATTATAATATAGAAAACCAAAGACGGAGCAACACAAACCCCACCAAAAAACTTGGAGTGATCACAGGTGCTCCGGAAGGGTAAGCAGATCTTGCTCCACATGCGGCCGTGCGTCCTGTTGCTCATGAAAGTACAAGCCCGGTGGTAAGTCTAATTCGGTATGTCACATTCGAGGAAAGGAGGATGTGATTGTGGTAACGACAGTTGAAACAAATCCGTCGTCATCTGTGAATTTAAAACAATTTAAGAGATAAAAATTAATGCTATTGAAACGGCTTAAATCAGATCGCAAGTTAACACTATATCTGTTCTTTTTATCAATTCTAAAGCTGAACGGGGTCTATTATATGTTTAACGTTATTTTGATATACCAAATATTTGTCGGGTTCGAAGCCCATTTAAAGATTAAGCTTCATCAGGAATGTTCATAAACACAACTTGGATAGCCAAAGAGAATGTATAAGAAGTAGTCAAACTACCTTATATTAACACAGGCTGGTTAACACTGCGTAGGGTTATTGTAGCCTTAATTTATATGAGAATAGCAAACAGTATACATGGACAATTTAGTGAAAATAAAAGTAACGATTTAATATTTGTATTTGTAGTATTACCAACTGTTTATAGTGTATCATGTCCTGACCATGACCGACCTTTTGACTCTAGGGCTACCATTGTATTGTGAGTATACAATATAGTTTAAGTGAACAATACGACATTTTTGTTTGTTTGTTTGCTTTGCTTTCTTTTCCAAAATCAAGAAAAACAATTATACGGTGTTCACGATGAGGGTGACTAAGTCTTTAGAAGTGAATACATATATTAAACAGTATCATTAAATACTAGATTTCAAGAGTCAATGATTTTTTAAGAAAAAAAATACAATATAAATAGTCCTATTTTAACTTTTTACATCGTGTGTTAAAACAATTTCATTGCCATATAACAAAACAATGCTGGTGTGTTGTGTTCCTTGAAGGCAAATATAGATTTGCCATGCATATGTTTATTTTACAAATCTTTATTTTTTGCTATTTCAGTGACTCTTCTTACTCATATATCATATATCAGATTACTAATCTGGGCCTTTTCAAGGTATGACCGCTTTTAGGGGTATAAAACGGTGTTAAAGGAATGTTCATTTTGACGATAACTTTTAACCCAATTTTAGAACTGATATATAATTCTTTCTGCAGGGTAGTTTGTTCAATTTTTATAGCCTATCTGGTATTAGGAACAGGATATGACGTCATAATGATTCAATGGCCTAACTGGAGCATTAAAGGCAAGGATGATTCAAACGCTTCCGAATTTGATGAAACTACACATTTAATAAATGAACATGCACAATATACACCAGGTATACTATAACACTATCAATTTTTTAAAATCTTTTTCGTTAGTTGAACTGTTGAACTGAGCATCTAATTGGCCATCTATTGGGGTAGCCATGTTAGATTTGTTGATCTTTTACAAACCGGTAGCATACAATTTTAAGATATGCACAAGAAGAGAGAAAATTGAGAATATACCATTAGGTTCATGAAAATTCACTTGCTTCAATCGTTTAAGTATCAGTATATACAACAATAATGCATATTTTGTTTAAGTGGTTCACATGCATTAGGCCTACGATTATTTGACTGAATGAATGGATATTGATTCTTCCTATATTGCCTATAATTCATCAAAGAAAATTTACAAAGAATTTACCTCCATACAGTACAATAGAGTTAATTCCCTTTACAGAGTTTTAAGATATGTTTGATTAAAATATAAATCAAAGGTATCTTTTGATTAAACTTCGCGTTCTAAACAAAGTTTCTGAGGAAAATATTTATTTTCAAGATGCATTACATATAACTCATATATTCTGTATGAACACGGATTAAGATAGAAGTCACGGGTAGCTTTTGACATGACTTGGCAAATTACACAAAATAACAGAAACAATTATTTTATAAAAATAAGGAGATGTGGTATGTGATTGCCAATGAGACAACTATCCACCAAAGGTTAAATGAAGAGTTACAGGCTTTCTAAAAATGAATCGATTTTTGCATGATTTTTAGATAAAACAGAATTATATTACAAATATTACAAATATTAGCTTATAATATGACCAAAGGAATTTGTGATTTTGGCCAGGTGAGATAACTTTTGCATAATGTTAAAATCTTTTAGTATATCTATTCCCCAAGAAAACACTCATTAGTTGTTTTATCGCCTTCTAAAGAAGTCCGTGTGGAATATAATTGTATGGTATTCGCTAAGATCCTTTTCATATTACAATATTCAGTTCTGTTATTAAATATATGCATTTAATTAAGAAGATGATGGCTATTCAGCAGAGAGAAGTCTAACAAAAAAATCGAAAACTCACCTTAAAAATCAACATACATATGGTCATTATACAATAGAATTGTTTCTATATTTTATCATCCCAAGGACACAAATAACCAAAAACCAAAAAAGAACATTTAGAGTACGTCATAAAGTATAATTCTTTAAACATTACTTTTTTTCTTTTTCATAATTATAGGCTTGTTAGGAAAGCTTATTTTATCTTTTTCTGTATATACTAATATAACCAAGATACTTAGTACTACACAAGGAGCTGGGAGTTTAACAGCAATAAATGGGATACGGTTTATTACCATGACTTGGGTTATACTCGGACACACCATGATATTTGCTTTACAGTTTGGTGTTGTTGGTAAGTGATATCTATGTACATAGAAAAGTGGTAACCAAAATGAATATATATACATGTAACATCTCTTTTACATGTTACCGTATGAGCAACGTTTTATGCAAATGTATCATGTCAAAGTATGATGCTGATTTAAGTACGAACGACCTATTGATAAAAGTCTTGTACTAAAAGTTTTGGACAACAATACACGTTTGGAAATACAAAATATGTAATGACTCAAAGCAGACATAAGCACCCAAGAACAACTAAAATATGTAATGACTCAAAGTAGACATAAACACTCAAGAACAACTACAATATGTAATGATTCAAAGTAGACATAAACACCCAAGAACAACTGAAATATGTAATGACTCAAAGTAGACATAAACACCCAAGAACAACTACAATATGTAATGACTCAAAGTAGACATAAACACCCAAGAACATCTAAAATATGTAATGACTCAAAGCAGACATAAACATCCAAGAACATCTAAAATTTGTAATGACTCAAAGTAGACATAAACATCCAAGAACATCTAAAATATGTAATGACTCAAAGCAGACATAAACACCCAAGAACATCTAAAATATGTAATGACTCAAAGTAGACATAAACATTCAAGAACATCTAAAATATGTAATGACTCAAAGCAGACATAAACACCCAAGAACATCTAAAATATGTAATGACTCTAAGAAGACATAAACATCTAAGCACAACTAAAATATGTAATGACTCAAAGTAGACATAAACACCCAAGAACATCTAAAATATGTAATGACTCAAAGTAGACATAAACATCCAAGAACATCTAAAATATGTAATGACTCATAGCAGACATAAACACCCAAGAACATCTAAAATATGTAATAACTCAAAGTAGACATAAACATCCAAGAGCAACTAAAATATGTAATGACTCAAAGTAGACATAAACACCCAAGAACAACTGAAATATGTAATGACTCAAAGTAGACATAAACATCCAAGAACAACTGAAATATGTAATGACTCAAAGTAGACATAAACATCCAAGAACAACTAAAATATGTAATGACTCAAAGTAGACATAAACATCCAAGAACAACTAAAATATGTAATCACTCAAAGTAGACATAAACATCCAAGAACAACTGAAATATGTAATGACTCAAAGTAGACATAAACATCCAAGAACAACTAAAATATGTAATGACTCAAAGTAGACATTAACATCCAAGAACAACTGAAATATGTAATGACTCAAAGAAGACATAAACATCCAAGAACAACTGTTCTAGAGAAAGTCTTAATATCTCCAATAATAGTTTAGTGTTCAGTTTATCTTCTTTAAATATTCAATCAAACGATATTATTCAAATTATTCGTGAACCAAAACTCTTGACTTTTTAACGGATGAAATGCCAATTAACTGGTTAAATTAACATGGGTTTATCCTGAACACAGAGTATAACTAATAAGCCATTTTTATAAATACTTCTGTTTTGGTTTGTATCTTTACATTTTTCCAATTTGACTTCAAGATTACCAACCAACTAATGATACAATCCATTAGGATATCTATCCGTATTGAAGGCTGTCACGGAATAGAAGTTCCTTCATAATATAGGTTCCAAACGGAAACAATATTCTGGAATAAATATTACAGTAAATGTTCCTAACGGAATAAATGGTATAGAATATTTGTTCCAACAGGAACAAATATTATGACATTGTTTATAACAAAGTTTCCAGTGGAACTTCTGTTAGGCGGAACAAATATACGTTGACACCCCGTACTTTGACCTATAATTGTTTACTTTTTACACATTGTGACTTGGATGGATAGTTGTTTTATTGGAACTCTTACCACATCTTCTTATTTAAATGTATGAGTCTGGTAAATGTTTACAAGTATATTTTTTAGATAACACTTCACAGTGGTTACCAGAGCATCTTAACAGAATATCGTTTGGTCCAATTTACAATGCGTTTCCTGCAGTAGACACTTTTTTCGCTTTAAGGTACATCTATGTTCAGTAAATATACATATTTTTTTTAATGCATGCAACATCACAGAAATTTTAGAATTAGTCAATCAACCATTATATAGGGATGATAATCAGCATGTTCAAAGACTTTATTTAACACATTGTTAGTAAGACGATTTTCTTATGGGCATCATTTCTTGTTCTCGCGCGTGCATCATTTATTGTTCTCGCACGTGCATCATATCTTATTATCGCATGGGTATCATTTCTTATTATCGCATGGGTATCATTTCTTGTTCTCGCATGGGTATCATTTCTTGTTCTCGCATGGGTATCATTTCTTGTTCTCGCATGGGTATCATTTCTTGTTCTCACATGGGTATCATTTCTTGTTTTCGCATGGGTATCATTTCTTGTTTTTGGAGAGAATCGAATAGTCAAAGCTTTAAATTTTTTCTTTACGTCGTTATTTTCAGTTGTCAAGATATTTTTATTACCAGAAATCCGTCCCGTTTATCATAACTTTTGTATAAAACCATGTTAGCTATTAATATAGGACATCGGCCACTATGAAATTTTGCTTTATTAAGAAGTAGTTCAGGTTGATTAATGTTTTTTTTTTTTCGTACATTTTGAAAAAAAATTGAATATTTACGGAGAATATATCATCTAAGTATCTGCTTGTATTTTTAAAGATATCTATAATAGGTAGTTACAGAAGTCCATTACTATGACGCTTTCCATTGATTTTGGGGACATCGTGATCGCCTTACTATATAGCACAGCTTGCACACTTCCTCTAGTAATGGACTTCTGGTAGTAAATATATTTTTTTTTCAAAAATTCGTATAATGCGTCATTGTTAATATCAATTACAGTCAGTCTGTTTACTCCTTTTTTGAGAGTTTTGTATTGAATAATGTTTCCTTGTTTTAAATAATTTTTTCAGTACCACTTTTATATTTTCAATTGTTGTAGTGGTCTATTACTGACATATTTGATGATGAAGGAATTAAAGACAAATAATGGGAAGTTGAATTGGCCGATGTTTTATTTCCATCGATTCTGGAGGTAGGAAATAGTCATGTTACACACACACTATCTATTTTGGGGGTATTTCACACACACAGACACACACACACACAGATAAATACTATAACAGAAAAACAAGGGATATGGGGTATCCATCCATGACACAAAATCATTACATGCACAGCAAAAAAAGCAAAGGAACAGCGCTTTTATTGCTGTTCTTCATCTCAAAGTCACAATGAGGCCTTCAACACGGAGCAAAAAAACTCTCACGTGTTTTTAAGATAAATAACAGATAAAACTTTTTATCGTTATTTTACGAAAATATCCTTTGATCTTACTGACTGATAATTTCCTTTCTCAGCGAAGTCGAGTGATATGAAAATTATCGCTAGAAACTAAGGGGGCACGTGCCGTTGCTAATGAAATTGACATGAAATTGACAACGTCGTCATAGGTAAAATAGCAATAAACAAATTATCATTGGTCATCTCAATTCGATTTCTTTTCTCGCTTTCGCCGTACCGGCTCAAGCGAGAAAATCAATCTCGTTGAGATGATCAACGATAATCTATAAGTAAATTTATTGTCTCACATTTCTGAAATATTGACAATCAAATTAAACAAAAGAAGAAAAATCTCAAGTAGTAAAGAGTCATACTTACATATTTAAAAGAGTACATGTTCTTTATTTGTTTAAGATAGTTATTTATTTAGGAATGAAAATAAAAATAGATGTTTTATATGATTTTTGAAAAAGTGTTAATTGAAAGGTTCGTATACCGTTATAGATGTGGAGTTAATATCCTGAGATAGCAACCAAACGACACAAAAGAAAACAAGACTTAACAAGTCAAAATATTGTATTCATCAATAAACAAATATCAAGACAATATGTCAAGTCTTTCATTCGTTTTTATAGAATAACAAAACAATAAAAAATGAAAAGAATTGGAAAGATGAAATCATCTACCTGCATTTCTATTTACCACGTCGACGGCCGATACGTTTATATTGTTTCTTTTAGATTGACTCCTCCCTACATGTTGATACTAATGGTATATGTATCTCTCTTCCCTTACATTGGAGAAGGTCCCGGATGGCCTAAAGATGGAGCTGAAGTCAATTACTGTGAACACTCATGGCACCGAAATTTTCTATACGTTAACAATTTATTCGTAGATGGTTACGATATGGTAGGTTTCGTTTGGTTATCACATTATTGTTGGGTATGCTGGATGTTTTGAGTTTTTAATCTTATTTGTACAAACAAAAGGATCTTGATCTGGTGAAATTGATAAGAAAGTGGTTCATACCAAATACATACACAGAAGACACAATAGATGTTAAAAAACAGATTTCTCCAAAATGAATAAGTTGCATACGTTTGTGGAACAGTCAAAAGCACAAAAAAAATATTAGTGTGTTATTACAATAAAATTGAGAATGGAAACGGGGAATATGTCAAAGAGACAACAACTCGACCAAAGAGCAGAAAACAGCTCAAGTCCACCAATTGGTCTTCAACACAGCGAGACAATGTATGCCAGGATGTTGAGTGTATAAATGATATAATCACTTCTCAAGATAATAAGTAGTTCGTCACTGAATTTCAAAAGAGAAGTAAATTAATGCAAATAATGCGCTTTTTTAAACATAAAGATAAATATGAATAAGTCTTTACAGGCACAAAAACAGAAAGAATATTTTCAGTAATATACAACTGATTTTAAAATATCATCAAATTAATCAAATCTATCAGTTTTCTCATCAGTCCTTTAATAGAAAAATATATCAATTCGATGATAGTAAAATATTACTTTTGGAGGTAATTGTGTTCTAATACTATTCCTCTATATTAACAGTGTATGGCGTGGTCTTGGTATCTAGCTAATGACATGCAATTTTATGTGATCAGTCCACTTATTCTACTTCCGTTGTTCCAGTAAGTAAATACATATTTTTATGAGATTGGCAGTCGATTAGTTTTTGGTCATTATACATTGAAATGCTATAAATCCAAAGCTAAAGAAATCAGATTTATTAATCGCACATTTTATTATACTCATTGCTATAAAAGAGTGGCGAAAGATACCAAAGGGACATTCAAACTCATAAGTCGAAAATAAACTGACAACGCCATGGCTAAAAAAGAAAAAGACAAACAGACAAACAATAGTACACAAAACACAACATAAAAACTAAAGACTGAGCAACACAAACCCTACCAAAAACTCTTTTATGAATTAAATTTCACATTTTGAGCATTAAGGCAATCGCTAGATAATGATTGTAAACCTTTTGTCAGCATTTCTAATTCTAATTTGCGGGAATTCGTATCTCAAACATATATACATATCTATAAACGGCAAGTTATAAATCCTTATATAGGATAATACCCTACATGATCATAAAATAATGTAAGTCTTAACATATTTATGTTTGTTACCTTGTAAACTTTTTCAGTTACCATTTGGTGGGTGTGGCAATTTTATTGGCATTTTTATTGGGCTCTACAATTGCATGCGGTTTACTCTCAGCACATGATGACTTACCAGCCAGTATGTTTGATGGGTAAGGAATGACAGCAATAAAAGGGCATTAACTGTTGTGTATTTACATTTCTTATGTACTTGAATAGTTGCATTCTAGTAAAATACAATGCATTTTTATAACGTTGTTATTGAAAGCATGTGTGGTCATCGACAGTCATCTATTTATTGGGATTAATGCTGATCATGATGATGTAGTCAGAGTTTTCAATGGAAATTCAGAATCTCGTTAGAATTCCATGTAAACTGCGATTACCTTTCATCGAGATACTATCAATATAATACAATTTTTTTTAATGAAGTGAAGTGACATGATTGCCAATGACACAACTGTCAACCAAAGACCAAATGAGCTTGACGTAAGCAAATTAAGATCACCGTATATACACCGCCTTCAACAATGAGTTAAACCAATACTAAATAGTAAGTGGAAAAAAGCAAAGACATTACAAAATGTAAAACAACTCAAACGAGAAAAACCAACGACATGATTTATTATAAAGCAATATACGCAAATAATATGACAGATAGCAAACAACGACAACCACTAAAATTACAGGTTCCTCACTCGGCACAGGTACATACAGAATGTTGCTGGTTTGAACATTTCTACAAGCGCCCAACCCTCCCCTAAAATGGGACAGTGATGTAACAGCACAACATGAAACAAACTGTAAATATAGTTTGGAAAGGGCTTGACTCATCAGATCGACATAAAGCACAAAGCAACTAAGACAATAGACACAAAGTACCGATCTAAGCGTACTCGCAGTAAATGAAATGTAGATTTAAGCAATTATCTATACTACAAAAATAACGAGGTCTAATTTGTTAGCCAGCATGACGTGAAAACGACGAATTTCAGAATTCAACTTTATATATAACTAATATAGAACAATAGTATTGATTAAAATTGCACTATTTCAGGCCCTTTTGTTTTCCACATAATTAATATTACCAATAGTTAAGAAGTTCCAAGTCAAATCCGATACCGATACCAATAGTATATCATATTATGTCACATATAGTTTCCGGTTGTAGTAAGAAAACCAGGACGGGTTCGAACAGAAAGATTTTGAAAGCAGCACAAACTGTGAACCTTATAATCACCATGACTTTATCAGATGACGATACGAATACTAAAAATCCAGGCTAAAATAAGGTGTAGGTACTTTAATTCAGTAACTATGCGGATGTGTTCTAGTAGCTAATCATTAAATTATGTTTTCCAAGAATATGCATTTTTTTAGATATAAAAAATATTTCGTATGCAACTTAGCATTAACAATACAAAAAAGAAATGTACACGTACTGTGTACGTGTACATTTCTTTTTTGTATTGTTGTATATAATTTTTAAAATTCTTTTAATTTTGAATACATGCATTATTACAGTGGAAATAGTCAGAAGTTTTTCAATGAGTACGTTAAACCTTGGAACAGAATAACGCCTTATTTGATTGGAATATATGTAGGATATTTACTGTACAAAACTGACTGTAAAGTTCGTATCAATCGAGTAAGTGTAAATTCAGTTGTCATTAGCATAACATTATATGATGTCTAATGCAATGTTGATTGGTAGATTTGTGTGTCCAAACATTCCGTTTATTTTACGTTTTATCACCAAAATGCACTTTTCTCATTGTATCGTTACTAAGCCAAAAACAAAAAAACATAAAAGACACTTGGATCTATGCAAATAGTTATTGACTCTACACCGAGAAGAATATTTTTTAATTTCTAATTCACTTCTATCGAAATTTGATTCATTTCAAGTAAACTTTTTGCTCAAAAAGTAGTTTGCATTACTATTAATTTTTTTTATACTGGAAGTATATGCTTACTTTCAGTTTGTAAACATATTTGCATGGTTAGCTTTTACTGCAGTTGCGTGTACAGTGTTATATGGTTTACACAAAGATGTAACTGGAGACCGCTTGTCAACGGACGTAGCAGCTCTTTATACAGCTACCCACAGGATGGTATGGGGAGCTTGCGTATGCTGGGTTATATTTGCATGTGCTACAGGAAATGGAGGTACAGAGCTTTAGTATCCTTTTGATTAGTTTATAAAATATTTTACATTTAAGCTAAGATAACATAACTGAATAAAAATGAACATCTACAATGTAATTGTCTTGTATCGACTGTAAATCTTGAAATTACACATGAACTCCCTTTTTCCGTTTAGTTACTGTTTAGGAAAATCATCGAAAATCGGAAGGTCTCGTGTCAGATTGAAAAAGCTAAAACGACGGTAGTATTTTTGAAGGTTATTGTATGCTTCAATGTCATACCTTATAAACCATTCAAATTTTTCTATACACAACAAAATCATTGGAAACAATTATTTTTTTTTTATTTAAAGCTTGGTTTCACTTCTTTCAGTTGCTCATACTTGACCAAGTACCAGAACGTCTATCTTCAAAAGGTTATCATTGTTTACATTTTGAAACGGTTTGTAAAACTTCTGCTTGGTAGGAACAACAATACAAATAAAGTCGACTAAAAGTGCAACCAATATCAATTATAGATGCCGTAATAATGAAATATAAGTTAAACTTACTTCAAAAGTTATAGAAAAAATAACGTATTATGACAATAAGCGTCTTTATATTAAAAAACACGTCGTCCTCAATTGTGATAATGTCTATTTTTGGTGCGTTTGTATTTTGAATCAATTGTATACATTCTAGAAGAAAAGTTCGCGAACGATTACACTTTTAAAAAAATGGGCGCAATAACACTTTACACAAAGCTAAGGGCAAAAGAAATTGAAGCAGTCAGCATTACAAGGGACTAGCAACATAAGAATAAGCTTTACTGCATTACCATAAGCCGAAAATTAACCATGAAAAAGTATGAAGTCCAGAAGCATTCGCTTTGTTGTTATACAAAAGTATCATATCTTACTTGCTTACACTTCCTGAACACCTAAGATCACCCTCGTATTTTTTGAGGGGGTTCGTGTTGCTCAGTTTTTATTTTCTATGTTGTGTTTTGTATACTGCTGTTCGTCTTTTGGTCTTTTTCTTTTTGTTTTGCCATGGCGTTGTCAGTTTATTTTCAACGTATGAGTTTGGTTATCCCTTTGGAATCTTTCGCCTCTGTTACGTGCTTGCGAAGACGTAATCGTATCATCTTGTTCATCATGTAAACTTGTTTTCTGCAGGGATAATTAACACGATATTATCATGGAAGGTATTTGTACCACTAAGCCGACTGACATATTGTGCCTATTTGGTTCATCCTATAGTTATATACTATTATCTCCTTAGAAGACAAAGGCTTATACATTTTAGTGATACTGAAGTCGTAAGTATTTTGTTAACTTAATTTTTCATGGAGTAATTCAAACTATTAACTCAGATTGAAACAGTGATTTAAAGGATCAGAATATACAAAATATCATTTAATACCATAATTCAAAAATAAAAAGTATAAATAAATCTGATAGATATATCGTTGTTAAACAAATTTACAAGATACCAAAATTGTTACGAACACTGATGTATGTCTTCATGCTTTTTATCGTTACAGATATACAAGTTCCTATGACATGTTGTTCTATCCTATGCAGACTGATGCACGTCTCTATGCTTTTTATCGTTACAGATATACGAGTTCCTAGGACATGTTGTTCTATCCTATGCAGACTGATGTACGTCTCTGCTTTTTATCGTTACAGATATACGAGTTCCTAGGACATGTTGTTCTATCCTATGCAGACTGATGTACGTCTCTGCTTTTTATCGTTACAGACGTACGTGTTCCTAGGACATGTTGTTTATCCTATGCAGACTTGTGTATTTCTGTATGATTTTTATCGTTACAGACGTACGAGTTCCTATAACATGTTGTTCTATGTATCCTTTGCAGACTGGTATATTTCTCTATGATTTTTATTGTTACAGACGTACGTGTTCCTAGGACATGTTGTTTATCCTATGCAGACTTGTGTATTTCTGTATGATTTTTATCGTTACAGACGTACGAGTTCCTAGAACATGTTGTTCTATGTATCCTATGCAGACTGGTATATTTCTCAATGATTTTTATCGTTACAGACGTACGAGTTTCTAGGACATGTAGTTCTGTCCTATGCAGTCGCCCTTGTTGCATCTTTAGTATTCGAATCTCCAATGATGGGTCTAGAGAAAGCTTTGCTCAAACGAAAAGAACGAAAAAGATGATAACTTAAATAAACGATTTATGAAAATTAACCATAAGTAAACTTATTTTGTATTTTAATAAAATAACACAGACAAAGTTTGGCTTTATTATTTTTTGCTGTAAGATGGATAAATAGGAATAATAGCTTACATGTTCATCTTACCCTCTGCTAACTTGACATATCTGAGATGATTCCTTCCTGTGTGTATACACTCGAAAAATGGCAGTATACTTTTTTAATATATAAAAGAACAAATTAATACACAAATTTGCAAAGAATTGTAAATAATATAAACAAAAAATGACGCTTGCGAACTTCTTTGGTAAATGGTATTCACAAAAGCTGATGATGGTTTTTAACTTAGAGATGGTTCACAATAGTTGTCCCGTTGTTTACTTAAGTTTTAAAGATAGCAGGAGCAGCGTGAAAGTAATAGAAACAATAACAAAAACTAGGATGAAATAGCAATTCTTGACCATTCTTTAGATCAACGTGAAAGTGATAGAAACGTTAACAAAACAAGGATGAGATAGCAATTCTTGACCATTCTTTAGATCAACGTGAAAGTGATCGAAAGGTTAACAAAAACTAGGATGAAATAGCAATAATTGACCATTCTTTAGATCAACGTGCAAGTGATAGAAACGTAAACAAAAAATAGGATGAGATAGCAATTCTTGGCCATTCTTTAGGGCAACGTGAAAGTGACAAAAAGGTTAACAAAAACTAGGATGAGATAGCCAATATTGACCATTCTTTAGGTCAAAGTGAAAGTGATAGAAACGTTAACAAAAACTAGGATGAGATAGCAATTCTTGACCATTCTTTAGATCAACGTGAAAGCGATAGAAAGGTTAACAAAACTATGATGAGATAGCAATTATTGACCATTCTTTAGATCAACATGAAATTGACAGAAAGGTTAACAAAAACTAGGATGAGATAGCAATTATTGACCATTCTTAAGATCAACGTGAAAGTGATAGAAACGTTAACAAAAACTAGGATGAGAGCAATTATTGACTATTCTTCAGATCAACTTGAAAGTGATAGAAAGGTTTACAAAAATAGGATGAGAAAGCAATTCTTGGCCATTCTAAAGATCAACGTGAAAATGATAGAAACGTTAACAAAAACTAGGATGAGATAGCAATTCTTGACAATTCTTCAGATCAACGTGAAAGTGATAGAAAGGTTAACAAAACTAGGATGAGAAAGCAGTTCTTGACCATTCTTTAGGTCAACGTGAAAGCGATAAAAAGGTTAACAGAACTAGTATGAGATAGCAATTCTTGACCATTCTTTAGGTCAACGTGAAAGTAACAGAAAGGTTTACAAAACTAGGATGAGATAGCAATTATTGACCATTCTTAAGATCAACGTGAACTTGACAGAAAGGTTAACAAAACTAGGATGAGATAGCAATTATTGACCATTCTTTAGACCAACATTAAAGTGATAGAAACGTTAACAAAAACTAGGATGAGAGCAATTATTGACTATTCTTTAGATCAACGTGAAAGTCATAGAAAGGTTAACAAAAACTAGGACGAGAAAGCAATTCTTGGCCATTCTATAGATCAACGTGAAAGTGATAGAAACGTTAACAAAAACTAGGATGAGATAGCAATTCTTGACCATTCTTTAGGTCAACGTGAAAGTGATAGAAAGGTTAACAAAACTAGGATGAGAAAGCAGTTCTTGACCATTATTTAGAACAACGTGAAAGTGATAGAAACGTTAACAAAAACTAGGATGAGAAAGCAATTCTTGACCATTCTTTAGATCAACGTGAAAGCGATAGAAAGGTTAACAAAACTAGGATAAGATAGATATTCTTGACCATTTTTAGGTTAACGTGAAAGTGACAGAAAGGTTAACAAAACTAGGAAGAGATAGCAATTATTGACCATTCTTTAGATCAACGTGAAATTGACAGAAAGGTTACTAGTAACAAAAACTAGGATGAGATAGCAATTCTTGTCCATTCTATAGATCAACGTGAAAGTGATAAAAACGTTAATAAAAACTAGGATAAGATAGCAATTCTTGGCCATTCTTTAGGTCAACGTGAAACTGATAGAAACGTCAACAAAAACTAGGATGAGATAGCAAATATTGACCATTCTTAAGATCAACGTAAAATTGATAGAAGGTTAACAAAACTAGGATGAGATAGCAATTCTTGACCATTCTTCAGATCAACGTGAAAGTGATAGAAACGTTAACAAAAACTAGGATGATATAGCAAATATTGACCATTCTTTAGGTCACGTGAAAGTGATAAAAAGGTTAACAAAACTAGGATGAGATAGCAATTATTGACCATTCTTTAGATCAACGTGAAAGTGACTGAAAGGTTAACAAAAACTAGGATGAGATAGCAATTATTGACCATTTTTTAGATCAACGTGAAAGTGATAGACACGTTAACAAAAAATAAGATAAGATAGCAATTCTTGGCCATTCTTTAGATCAACGTGAAAGTGATAGAAACGTCAACAAAAACTATCATGAGATAGCAATTCTTGACCATTCTTTAGATCAACGTGAAAGTGATAGAAACGTCAACAAAAACTAGGATGATTTAGCAAATATTGATCATCCATTGGGTCAACGTGAAAGTGATAGAAAGTTTAACAAAACTAGGATGAGATAGCAATTTTTGACCATTCTTTAGGGCAACGTGAAAGTGATAAAAACGTTAACAATAACTATGATGAGATAGTAATTATTGACCATTCTTTAGGTCAACGTGAAAGTGATAGAAACGTTAACAAAACTAGGATGAGATAGCAATTCTTGACCATTCTTAAGATCAACGTGAACTTGAAAGAAAGGTTAACAAAAACTAGGATGAGATAGCCAATATTGACCATTCTTTAGGTCAAAGTGAAAGTGATAGAAACGTTAACAAAAACTAGGATGAGATAGCAATTCTTGACCATTCTTTAGATCAACGTGAAAGCGATAGAAAGGTTAACAAAACTATGATGAGATAGCAATTATTGACCATTCTTTAGATCAACATGAAATTGACAGAAAGGTTAACAAAAACTAGGATGAGATAGCAATTATTGACCATTCTTAAGATCAACGTGAAAGTGATAGAAACGTTAACAAAAACTAGGATGAGAGCAATTATTGACTATTCTTCAGATCAATTTGAAAGTGATAGAAAGGTTTACAAAAATAGGATGAGAAAGCAATTCTTGACCATTCTAAAGATCAACGTGAAAATGATAGAAACGTTAACAAAAACTAGGATGAGATAGCAATTCTTGACAATTCTTCAGATCAACGTGAAAGTGATAGAAAGGTTAACAAAACTAGGATGAGAAAGCAGTTCTTGACCATTCTTTAGGTCAACGTGAAAGCGATAAAAAGGTTAACAGAACTAGTATGAGATAGCAATTCTTGACCATTCTTTAGGTCAACGTGAAAGTAACAGAAAGGTTTACAAAACTAGGATGAGATAGCAATTATTGACCATTCTTAAGATCAACGTGAACTTGACAGAAAGGTTAACAAAACTAGGATGAGATAGCAATTATTGACCATTCTTTAGACCAACATTAAAGTGATAGAAACGTTAACAAAAACTAGGATGAAAGCAATTATTGACTATTCTTTAGATCAACGTGAAAGTCATAGAAAGGTTAACAAAAACTAGGACGAGAAAGCAATTCTTGGCCATTCTATAGATCAACGTGAAAGTGATAGAAACGTTAACAAAAACTAGGATGAGATAGCAATTCTTGACCATTCTTTAGGTCAACGTGAAAGTGATAGAAAGGTTAACAAAACTAGGATGAGAAAGCAGTTCTTGACCATTATTTAGAACAACGTGAAAGTGATAGAAACGTTAACAAAAACTAGGATGAGAAAGCAATTCTTGACCATTCTTTAGATCAACGTGAAAGCGATAGAAAGGTTAACAAAACTAGGATAAGATAGATATTCTTGACCATTTTTAGGTTAACGTGAAAGTGACAGAAAGGTTAACAAAACTAGGAAGAGATAGCAATTATTGACCATTCTTTAGATCAACGTGAAATTGACAGAAAGGTTACTAGTAACAAAAACTAGGATGAGATAGCAATTCTTGTCCATTCTATAGATCAACGTGAAAGTGATAAAAACGTTAATAAAAACTAGGATAAGATAGCAATTCTTGGCCATTCTTTAGGTCAACGTGAAACTGATAGAAACGTCAACAAAAACTAGGATGAGATAGCAAATATTGACCATTCTTAAGATCAACGTAAAATTGATAGAAGGTTAACAAAACTAGGATGAGATAGCAATTCTTGACCATTCTTCAGATCAACGTGAAAGTGATAGAAACGTTAACAAAAACTAGGATGATATAGCAAATATTGACCATTCTTTAGGTCACGTGAAAGTGATAAAAAGGTTAACAAAACTAGGATGAGATAGCAATTATTGACCATTCTTTAGATCAACGTGAAAGTGACTGAAAGGTTAACAAAAACTAGGATGAGATAGCAATTATTGACCATTTTTTAGATCAACGTGAAAGTGATAGACACGTTAACAAAAAATAAGATAAGATAGCAATTCTTGGCCATTCTTTAGATCAACGTGAAAGTGATAGAAACGTCAACAAAAACTATCATGAGATAGCAATTCTTGACCATTCTTTAGATCAACGTGAAAGTGATAGAAACGTCAACAAAAACTAGGATGATTTAGCAAATATTGATCATCTATTGGGTCAACGTGAAAGTGATAGAAAGTTTAACAAAACTAGGATGAGATAGCAATTCTTGACCATTCTTTAGGGCAACGTGAAAGTGATAAAAACGTTAACAATAACTATGATGAGATAGTAATTATTGACCATTCTTTAGGTCAACGTGAAAGTGATAGAAACGTTAACAAAACTAGGATGAGATAGCAATTCTTGACCATTCTTAAGATCAACGTGAACTTGAAAGAAAGGTTAACAAAAACTAGGATGAGATAGCAATTATTGACCATTCTTTAGATCAACATGAAAGTGATAGAAACGTTAACAAAAACTAGGATGAGATAGCAATTTTTGACCATTCTTTAGATCAACGTGTAAGTGATAGAAACGTTAACAAAAACTAGGATGAGATAGGAATTATTGACCATTCTTTATGTCACGTGAAAGTGATAGAAACGTCAACAAAAACTAGGATGAGATAGCAAATATTGACCATTCTTTAGGTCACGTGAAATTGATAAAAAGGTTAACAAAACTAGGATGAGATAGCAATTATTGACCATTCTTTAGATCAACGTGAAAGTGACTGAAAGGTTAACAAAAACTAGGATGAGATAGCAATTATTGACCATTTTTTAGATCAACGTGAAAGTGATAGACACGTTAACAAAAAATAAGATAAGATAGCAATTCTTGGCCATTCTTTAGATCAACGTGAAAGTGATAGAAACGTCAACAAAAACTATCATGAGATAGCAATTCTTGACCATTCTTTAGATCAACGTGAAAGTGATAGAAACGTCAACAAAAACTAGGATGATTTAGCAAATATTGATCATCCATTGGGTCAACGTGAAAGTGATAGAAAGTTTAACAAAACTAGGATGAGATAGCAATTTTTGACCATTCTTTAGGGCAACGTGAAAGTGATAAAAACGTTAACAATAACTATGATGAGATAGTAATTATTGACCATTCTTTAGGTCAACGTGAAAGTGATAGAAACGTTAACAAAACTAGGATGAGATAGCAATTCTTGACCATTCTTAAGATCAACGTGAACTTGAAAGAAAGGTTAACAAAAACTAGGATGAGATAGCCAATATTGACCATTCTTTAGGTCAAAGTGAAAGTGATAGAAACGTTAACAAAAACTAGGATGAGATAGCAATTCTTGACCATTCTTTAGATCAACGTGAAAGCGATAGAAAGGTTAACAAAACTATGATGAGATAGCAATTATTGACCATTCTTTAGATCAACATGAAATTGACAGAAAGGTTAACAAAAACTAGGATGAGATAGCAATTATTGACCATTCTTAAGATCAACGTGAAAGTGATAGAAACGTTAACAAAAACTAGGATGAGAGCAATTATTGACTATTCTTCAGATCAATTTGAAAGTGATAGAAAGGTTTACAAAAATAGGATGAGAAAGCAATTCTTGGCCATTCTAAAGATCAACGTGAAAATGATAGAAACGTTAACAAAAACTAGGATGAGATAGCAATTCTTGACAATTCTTCAGATCAACGTGAAAGTGATAGAAAGGTTAACAAAACTAGGATGAGAAAGCAGTTCTTGACCATTCTTTAGGTCAACGTGAAAGCGATAAAAAGGTTAACAGAACTAGTATGAGATAGAAATTCTTGACCATTCTTTAGGTCAACGTGAAAGTAACAGAAAGGTTTACAAAACTAGGATGAGATAGCAATTATTGACCATTCTTAAGATCAACGTGAACTTGACAGAAAGGTTAACAAAACTAGGATGAGATAGCAATTATTGACCATTCTTTAGACCAACATTAAAGTGATAGAAACGTTAACAAAAACTAGGATGAAAGCAATTATTGACTATTCTTTAGATCAACGTGAAAGTCATAGAAAGGTTAACAAAAACTAGGACGAGAAAGCAATTCTTGGCCATTCTATAGATCAACGTGAAAGTGATAGAAACGTTAACAAAAACTAGGATGAGATAGCAATTCTTGACCATTCTTTAGGTCAACGTGAAAGTGATAGAAAGGTTAACAAAACTAGGATGAGAAAGCAGTTCTTGACCATTATTTAGAACAACGTGAAAGTGATAGAAACGTTAACAAAAACTAGGATGAGAAAGCAATTCTTGACCATTCTTTAGATCAACGTGAAAGCGATAGAAAGGTTAACAAAACTAGGATAAGATAGATATTCTTGACCATTTTTAGGTTAACGTGAAAGTGACAGAAAGGTTAACAAAACTAGGAAGAGATAGCAATTATTGACCATTCTTTAGATCAACGTGAAATTGACAGAAAGGTTACTAGTAACAAAAACTAGGATGAGATAGCAATTCTTGTCCATTCTATAGATCAACGTGAAAGTGATAAAAACGTTAATAAAAACTAGGATAAGATAGCAATTCTTGGCCATTCTTTAGGTCAACGTGAAACTGATAGAAACGTCAACAAAAACTAGGATGAGATAGCAAATATTGACCATTCTTAAGATCAACGTAAAATTGATAGAAGGTTAACAAAACTAGGATGAGATAGCAATTCTTGACCATTCTTCAGATCAACGTGAAAGTGATAGAAACGTTAACAAAAACTAGGATGATATAGCAAATATTGACCATTCTTTAGGTCACGTGAAAGTGATAAAAAGGTTAACAAAACTAGGATGAGATAGCAATTATTGACCATTCTTTAGATCAACGTGAAAGTGACTGAAAGGTTAACAAAAACTAGGATGAGATAGCAATTATTGACCATTTTTTTAGATCAACATGAAAGTGATAGACACGTTAACAAAAAATAAGATAAGATAGCAATTCTTGGCCATTCTTTAGATCAACGTGAAAGTGATAGAAACGTCAACAAAAACTATCATGAGATAGCAATTCTTGACCATTCTTTAGATCAACGTGAAAGTGATAGAAACGTCAACAAAAACTAGGATGATTTAGCAAATATTGATCATCCATTGGGTCAACGTGAAAGTGATAGAAAGTTTAACAAAACTAGGATGAGATAGCAATTCTTGACCATTCTTTAGGGCAACGTGAAAGTGATAAAAACGTTAACAATAACTATGATGAGATAGTAATTATTGACCATTCTTTAGGTCAACGTGAAAGTGATAGAAACGTTAACAAAACTAGGATGAGATAGCAATTCTTGACCATTCTTAAGATCAACGTGAACTTGAAAGAAAGGTTAACAAAAACTAGGATGAGATAGCAATTATTGACCATTCTTTAGATCAACATGAAAGTGATAGAAACGTTAACAAAAACTAGGATGAGATAGCAATTTTTGACCATTCTTTAGATCAACGTGTAAGTGATAGAAACGTTAACAAAAACTAGGATGAGATAGGAATTATTGACCATTCTTTATGTCACGTGAAAGTGATAGAAACGTCAACAAAAACTAGGATGAGATAGCAAATATTGACCATTCTTTAGGTCACGTGAAATTGATAGAAAGGTTAACAAAACTAGGATGAGATAGTAATTCTTGACCATTTTTTAGGTCAACGTGAAAGTGATATAAAGGTTAACAAAAACCAGGATGAGATTGTAAATATTGACCATTCTTTAGATCAACGTGAAAGCGATAGAAACGTTAACAATAACTAGGACGAGATAGCAATTCTTGACCCTTTAGATCAACGTGAAAGTAGAGACATATAATTGTATTATATGTCTCTCGTGAAAGTGATTGAAACGTTAACAAAAACTAGGATGAGATAGCAAATATTGACCATTCATTAGATAGAATAGAAATCATGAAACAACGAACATATATATAATAATTCCAAAGGAATGAAGCTCGCTTATTTTTAAATTAAACAAAATACATATGAAAAAAAATCCGCTCATTTCATTCATTACTTTCCTTTACTGCAAGACCTCTTAGACCACAAAGCGGCACTTTTTAGGCATGGTCTGCTTTAACTACATTTCCGAAGAATCTGAGATTCCTTCCAATCTTTAGTGGAGTTTGTGTTTACACAATCTTTAATTTGTATATAGTGTTTTGAAGACTGGTGTTTGTCTTTCGTCGTTTTTGGTTTTTGTCATGATTTTGTCGGTCTCTTTTCGACTTACTAGTATTAGTTTTGATTCTCCCTTTGATAAACTCTGCCTCTTGTTTCCAATAATCAAGTCGCAATAAAAGTAATAATATGAGACATGCAATTTCTCAACAAATCATTAGAAACGGGTGAGAGAATTCAAAATAATATTCTTTTTAGTTGACCAAATGGAAGAGATATGCAGTGATTTGATTGCTAAAATCATTTTGTATACAGATCGTTAAGTAATCTATCAC